GCTCCCCCAGATTGGATTCTGTTTGTACTCTAAACAGAAATTAGGTCTCCCAGTTGGGTGGGGTCCTGACTAAAGTTAATGAGCAAGTACTTTGAGGTTTAGAAGCAATTTCACCAGTCATCTGTGAGACTGACTGACCTTTTCAGCAGTTGGGCTGGCCAAAACATAATAAAAAGGGGAAAAAAATGTGGATCACAAGTTGATAATTATTTATTAATACAATGGTATAATATTAATTTCTCTGAAAATGAAGTATTTTTACCCAAAGCATATTTCAATACCCTCAGGTAAAAGTAATTTCTGAGATATTTAATAAGCAGTTCAGATAAAAGCCACATCAAGGTGGTTCCTTGAATCAGGAGGTCTCTGCCAAATTTTAGAAACCACTTTTTTATTCTTCTTGCCCCAAAGACCCAAAGACTGGGTCTGAGATCAGTTCACCTGGAGGCAAAGTTAACCTAAACTGCCTCAGAGTGAGGACCCAGCTTCCTTGCTCACAATAGTATGGAGGTGTGATAGGTTAAAACAAGTCTCAATGAATTATGTCAGCTGGGGTGAGGGAGACTTTGTCCTTGACATATTCAGGGCCTCTTGCATACTCTGGGCCCAATGTTTCTGGAAAATGTGGCAACTAAAAAGGACAAGTCCAGAGGACCCCTTAACAATTTATATATGGGGGAGTAGTAGGGCAGCTAGGTGGCCAAGTGGAGAGAGCACCAACCCTGAAGTCAGGAGGACCTGAGTTCAAATCCGGCCTCAGATCAAACACTTGACACTTACTAGCTGTGTCACCCTGGGCAAGTCACTTAACCCCAATTGCCTAAAAACAAAAAATGAAAAAAACAAAAAAAATTTATATGTCAGAGTGTTATGCAATATTATAGATATGCAGTGTGTGGTGATTAAAATTGACTTTCAAATTAAAGTCCCAGTAGTTGAAATAATATGTACATATACGCCTCAATAAGGAGATACACATGTATTATGTATAGAGAACTGTTGTTTCCCCTGCAGCTTTGTTATACTTAGTAAAGCTATTTATTTAAAGAAATTACAAGAATGCTCCCATGTATCCCTAATTCCTGAGATTATTAAGTGATCCAGTCAAAAGAAGTCATGCAATAATTTTCCTGGGACACTTAAAAAATTAATAGAGAAGCTGGGAATAGAATATATATTGAATGTCTATGGAAGAGGATAAGGTAGTGTAGTGTTGTGTCAGACAGTTGATAAGCCTTTATTAAGCACTTAATACTTGTCAAATCTTGTGCTAAGCACTAGGGATACAAAGAAAGGCAGTAACATTCTCTGCCCTTAAGGAGCTTTCATTCTAATGGTAATACAGCAAATAACTAGATACAGAAAAGATATATTCAGAGTAGATGGGTGGCAATTCAAGAGAGGAAGGTTATTAATCATTAGGAAGCTAGGTGGTGCAGTGGATAAAGCAGCGGACCTGGAGTCAGGAAAACTTGTCTTTGTGAGTTCAAATCTGGCCTGAGTCACTTACTATCTGTGTGACCTGGGCAAGGCACTTAACCCCAATTGACTCCAAAATACAGCAACAACAATAAACTGGGAGATGCCTTTTGCAAAAGTTAGTATTTGAGCTGGATTTTAAAAGAAACAAAACTAAGAGGCAGAGGAGAACATTGTGGGTAGGGGCCACAGCCAGTGTCATGCAAAGGGATGCAAAGGAGAGTAGAGATGATGTCATGTTCAAAGGAGAGCAAGTAGGCCAGTGCTGCTAGATCATAGAGTGGTTGGAAGGTAGAAAATTTCAAGAAGTCGGGAAAGATAGAAAGAAGTCAATTGTGAAGAGCTCTAAATGCCCAGCAGAGAACCGGTTATTTGATCCTGGAGCTGACTGGATAGGGGAGAGATAGGGTTCGGTGGGATTTGAACTCAGGTCTTCCTGATTTGGGGCAGTTAGGTGGTGCAGTGGATACAGCACTGGGTCTGGAGTCAGGAAGACAAGTTCAAGTCCAGCCTCAGACACTTACTGTGTGACCCTGGGCAAGTCACTTTTCTTCATCTGTAAAACGAGCTGGAGAAGGAAACGGCAAACCACTCCATTATCACAACATACACAGTTAAGCTAAGTTGAAGAGACAGGGCAACTTGAAAGCAAGGTAGACTGAGATAGAAATGATTAAATGTAAACATTCAATAAAATTTGGGTTGGGCCCAAGCACTAAGGAACCCAAAGTAGAAGCTTGGGTGGATCCATCACAAGTCCTGGGTGTGGTAACCCAAAATAAAAATGGTTTCGGTGGATCCAGGATGTAGGGGAATAAACCCCCACGCCACCACTACCACCTTCTAGCCATCTTCACCTTTCCTAAATGTTACTGGAGTCAGTCTTTAATCATATAAGGTTAGATTGAAACAGTATACCACTTTTTCCCAAACAATAAATCCTTTTCCCTGCATATGCTTCAATTTGCCATCTAAGTCCACCTCTATGTGGATGTGGATAGCATATTTCATTAAGAGTCCTTTGGAATTGTGGCTGGTCATTCTGTTTTTATCAGAGTTAGAAATGAGATTCTATGATTGTAAGATACAGATGAGAAGACACTGCCTGAAACTATAGTAACTCCAAACCAAATGGTCTAAAAAATATGAATTTAATGAAAGTGACATCAAGCCTGGTACTATTTCTGAAAGAACTCCAAAATAACTATCTCAAAACTCAGGAATCACCAAGTTCATCTCCTTTATCATTTCTTACAGCACATGTAGTTTTGTATCACATTCATGTAACTTATTCAGCCATTCCTCAAATGGTGGGCATCCCATGAATTTCCAATTCTTTGCCTCCACAAAAAGAGATACTATAAACATTTTTATGCATCTGAGTTTTTTCTTTTTTCTCTGATCTGTTTGGGGTATAGAACTAGTGTCTGGGTCAAAGGGAAGGGACAATTTCCTACCTTTTTGCAGAGACTACTCTACTTAAGAGGAAGAAATAGCACCATAGCCAATGACATTAATTGACCCTGAAAGCAAACAGAAGCTCCACATCACATGCACAAGGGGGCAAAGCCTGGCAGTATCTAGAGGAGCAAACAAAGACCACATCCCCAGTAACATTGTTGTCCTGAGCCGTTATTCCCTAGGGATATGCCTCTCCTTCTATGACCTATACTCTTACCACTGATAGTGTATGGAAATTTATGAAGGGGTATGCCCCAAGTTGATATGGGAAATGCTTTATTGGATCTTTCCTCATTGATACTACTTTATTAAACTCCTTTGCTTATATGTCCAAAACTGATTAAAAGAGAGCCTATATAACCAACCAAGCCTGCAGGAAGGTTAGAGATGAGCGTGGCATGCTACATTCTTCCAAATCCAAGTCTGGAATTGGGGTAGTGGTAAAACAGCAGCCCCAAAGATGCATTACCAGTTTCCCCTTTTTGTATAGGGAAGTCTCATCCCTGATGTGAATTAAAAGTTCTCCTTCCGATATGAACAGGCAGTTCTCAGATGAAGAAATTAAAGCTATCTATAGTCTTATGAATAAATGCTCTAAATCACTATTGGTTATAGAAATTCAAACCAAACCAACTCTGAGGTACCATATCACATGACAAAACAGGAAAATGATAAATGCTGGAGAAGATGTGGGAAAATTGGAACACTAATGCATTGTTGGTGGGGTTGTGAAATGATCCAACCATTTTGGAGAGCAATTTGGAACTATGCCCAAAGGGCTACAAAAATGTACATACCCTTTGCCAGCAATAGCACTTCTAGGGCTATATCCCAAAGAGATCATACAAATGGGAAAAGGACCCACATGTACAAAAATATTCATAGCAGCTCTTTTTGTGGTGGCAAAGAATTGGAAATTGAAGTTGTGGTATATGAATATAATGGAATACTATTATGTTATAAGAAATGATGACCAGGCTGACTTCAGAAAAACCTGGAAAGACTTGTATGGTCTGATGCAGAGTGAAGTGAGCAGAACCAGGAGAACGTTGTACACAATAACAGCCACGTTGTGCGATGACCAATATTGATAAACTTAACCCTTCCCAGCAATATAAGGATCTAAGACATCTCCGAAAGCCTCGTGATGGGAAATGCTATCCACATCCAAAGAAAGAACTATGAAAGTTGAATTGCTATTTTTTTTCTCTTCTGTTGAGTATTGTTTCCTCTTCCTGGTGGTTCCTCCTGTTGGTTCTAATTTTTACTTACAACATCATTAATGTGAAAATATGTTTAATAGGAATGTATATGTATAGCCTATATCAGATTGTGTGCTGTCTTGGGGGGTGGGGTGGGTAGGAAGGGGGAGAAAAATTTAAAACTCAAATGCATATGGAAGTGATTGTTGATAATTCAAAATAAATTATTTTTTTTAAAAAAAGTAGATTTCCAGGGAGGAGCTGAGTGATTTTTTTTTTGAAAAGGGATAGTAGGCCAAGTAAGTTTGGGAATCTTTACACAGCTTCCTTTTGAGTGTTGTAAATTAGATTGTAAATTCCTTGAGGGTAGGAACTGTCTTTGTTTTTATTTGTATTTGTATCTCCAGAGCTTAGCAGTGCTGCACATATTAGGCACTTAATAAACGTTTATTGAGTGACTGAAAAAAAAAGTTCTTCCTTTTTGGTGGTAATTGATGAGAAAGAAGGCATTGTTTGCTACCTCCATTTCCAGATCAAAGCTCTGGTATCTTTTTGTGCAGTAAGCAGTTGAAGGGAACTGGAGTATAAAAATGTAACATTCCCAGATTTATTCAAGATTGGCTAAGAAGGGGGCTTTGTAGGGCCTAATCTATGATTTCAGTTGCTAGGTGTTCATTTGAATACAGACACTTGATCAATGAGGTTATTATTGGGAGAAGAGATGGAGGACTTCTCCCAACTTCATTGTCTGGACTTCTTCCCCTCCTCCTAACCAGCTTCTATATCACCCCAAAAGTATCTATACCTTGAGGCCCCAATTTCCTGATTGATGACTACATGACTAACAAACATAAAGTATCAAAGTCAACATAAGTCTCTGTCATTTATTCTGTCATGTTTTCATCATTATGGTCTTTCCATCCAAACAAATCATTTTAGATGTACTTCATTAGGAATAGGAAGGCCATTGACAGCAGCCAGAATACTTTCAACCATATTTTCCTTAATGAGATGTAGACATTGATGAGTCACGCCTCCCAGATGAGGTGTTAAAATTACATTTTTCAACTTTAATAAAGGATGAGATCTGAAATACAAATGCATTAAAAATTATTTAGGTTTCATTGTTTTTTAAAAATTATTTTGTTGTAGTTACATTTTTATAGTTGTGGGAAGATAAAAATTTGTAGGATGTTAAAAATGAGTACAAGAAAATTCCATTTGATTCATGGAGTAATAATGGAATCTTAGAACCAGACAAAACCTTAAAGATTGCCTAGTCCAGTATTCTTGTTTTACAGATGAGGAAACTAGAAGCTCAGAATAAGGGCACAATGCAAGAACCCAGAACCCCTGGCTCCTAAGTCAAGGCTCTGGTAGACTGCTATTATCTTCAAAGTTACCCAAAAGGGATAGAATGCTAAGTGAAAACTAGGTATAATTTGAAGAGTTAAGTGTAAGGGCATGCATTCAAGTGCAATAAATGAACTATTCAAAATGGGTTGAGGTCCATGTAGCTTGTCAAAAGTTCATAAGAAAAAAATCTGAGCTTCCACTCTCAATTCTAGTTGCTCACAAACTTAGTAAGCCAACAATGTGATGGGGCTTTTCATAATTTTTAAAAGGTTAATACAACTATTGGCTGTATTCATAGAAATATAGTACTAAGTATTGAGAAATAATAATCCCATCATACAGTACACTAGTCACATTTCACATGTTCAATTCTTGCTGCCCAATTTTAAGAGGGATTTCAACAAACCAAACTGTGTCCAGAACATGGTGACCAGTAGGGCCAGGGGTTTGTAAACTATCACCTGAGGAAGAGTTAAAATTAATGCAGGTAATTAGCCTGGAGAAGAAAAGACTAAATAGAGACACAAAATCTGACTTCAAATATTTATAGTATTAATAGATGAAGTAATGCATTCGTTTTATGTTATTAATGATGGCAAAGCTAAGACTAATAGATGGAAGGGACAAGTCTGTTAAATTTTAATTATAGACATAGAGTTTGAAGAGTTGTGCTACAAATGTAAGGTATTAGTATAATTTTGTTACCTTTAACAAAAGATGAGGGGGCAGCTAGGTGGCACAGTGGATAGAGCTCCAGCCTTGGAGTCAGAAGGACCTGAGTTCAAATGTGACCTCAGACAGTTGACACTTAACTAGCTATGTGACCCTGGGCAAGTCACTTACCCCCCCCATTGCCTCACCAAAAAGCAAAACAAAACAAAAACAAAAACAAAACATGAGATCTGAAATACCCTACTTTGAAAAATGCTGTATCAGCTTTATTGGTTTCTTTTAGAATTATTAACAAATTATAGTTATATTTTTAAAACTGATACATAGATAAAAATGTAGAAGATTGAAAAAGAATTCAAGAAAATCCCATTTGATTCATGGAAAAATCATCCAATCTTAGAACCATACAGGACCTGAAAGATTTTCTTGTCCAGAAGTTCTTAAAGTATGGTCTGAGAGCCCTCTGAAAGTTCCTGAGACCTGTTTGAGGCATCCACAAGGTCACAGCTATTTGACTATTAAAATATTATTTTTCTGTTAAAATACTCCTTCATTTTCCAACTCCAAATCTGTAAGAAGCAACCAAAACAAAATGTTGAATACATAAACATATATAAAAATCCAGTTGTCTTCTATTGAGTCAGACATTGAAGAGATTTCCAAAAACATGGAAAATAATGCCACTTTTCCAAAAAATTTTTTTGTTTTATAAAATGTTATTTTTCATAAAAGTATGTAATTTATGTTAACATGTCTTGGGTTTATTGTTATTTTTTAATGAATTAATAAAGATTTTATAATTTTTATGAGTTTTAGTGTCAAATATAGTAAGGTATTAATAGATATAACCATCAATTATTTTAAGCACCTAATGAAGTACTGAGACGAAAAATTTTCAGAGACACTGATCTAGTCAAATGTTTTCATTTTTCAGGTGAGGAAATTATGTAGTCAGCCTGGAGAAGAGAAGGCTAGAGACACAAAATTTGATTTCAGAAAGTTTGAACTATATATAGATGAAATGATAGATTTATTTTGCTAAAAATGACAGAACTAGAACCATTGGGATGAAGTGACAAGAAGTTATTTCTTATAGTGAGCCAAAAATCTGTTTAAATATTAGAACTGTTTAACAGTTGAATGGACTGACTCATAGGAGTATCAAACAAGTCATTGCAGATACTCAGTTATAAGCCGGGCAAATAACTCTCAGTGATACGATAGGAAGAATTCCTATCTTGGGTGGGAGATTGGATAGTCAAAAGTCAATGAACATTTATTAAATGCCCACTATATGCCAGGTACTCTGCTAAGTGCTGGGGATAAAAAGAGGAAAAAAAGAAAGTCCATGCCCTAAAGAGCTAGTAATCTGATGGGAGAAGAAAACACAAAAAAGAAAGATAGAAAATGTGTTTGGGAGGGAGGGGAAAAGGTATTTGATCTGGGGACATGAAGAAGTTGGAGAAGGCCCAAAGATGGCAAGCCAAGTAGGAAACCAGGATTAGAAGACCTCTAAACCCTGTAGGTCTATGTGTGAGATATCAGCCAAAGAAAACTTTTATCTTCAAACATGGTTTGGCAACTTTCCTTCTATTTTTATTTTTCAAAAAACTTTTTTTTTTTTGGTGAGGCAGTTGGGGCTAACTGACTTGCCCAGGGTCAGACAGTAGTAAGTATCATGTGACTGAGGCCAGATTTGAACTCAGGTCCTCCTGACTCCAAGGCCAGAACTCTATCCACTGCATCATCTAGCTGCCCCCAAAAAACTTTGCGGAAACAATTTTGTTTTGTTTTGTTTTTACCTTGGCAGGGGTTCAGGGTAAGTCACATCTAGTCCTGCAGCTTTAATAATCCTGGTTTGAAGAGCTTCAACTAGGGCATCTTGATCAACCAGTTGACCTGCATTAATATAACAGTATCTTTGTCACTATCATATAGTTAGACTATATATAATAGGGAAGGAATGTCTTTAAAACTGTATAGTTATCCATGTCCTAATTGACCAAATAACAGAAACTCATAAATAGTAGATTACATAAGATCAAAAGACAGTGATACAAAATTTAAAATGGAGCTTAGAAAACAATAAATATGGCCGTATAACAGTGCAAACAGATATTTTTTATGACTCAAGAGGAACTTCACATTTAAAACTTAGTTGAGAGGAAGAATGTTCTAGTGGAAGGAAGATCAGCCTTAGAAATGAGACTTGGATTTTTATTCAGTTTCCCTCACATTGCCTAGTGTGTGTCTGTGAGTGAGTCACTTAATTTCTGGGTTTTCAGTTTCCTCATGTACAAAATCAGGTTGGGAGGAAAAAATGAGATAATGTGTATAAAAGTGTTTTGCAAATCATAAAGTGCTAGAAAAATGTCAGCTACTGATTATGACCATTGAATATCATAGATTTAGAACTGAAACGGATAGATCTCAAAGGTCATGTAGTCCAATTACTTCATTTTGCAGATATTGAAACTGGTGGTCAAAGAGGTTAAGTGACTTGCACAGGGTCATACAACCAGAAAGTGTCTGAGATAGGATTTAAACCCAGGTCTCCCTGACTCCCAATCCACTAGGTCATGATGCCTCTCATTTCCTTTTAGGTTCAAAATGCTATGCCCATAGCCCATCAAGTAGTGATTAAGTGGAGAAAGAAACTCTTCTCCTTTATGCTTAGAACCTTCACAGACTTGCAAAAGGTTTGTGATGCTCTTTCTGAATGTCCATGAATATTCAGGAAATGCCTAACTCCAAAACTTAGAATAAGAAAGCTTAGTGAGATGCTCTGATAAGGATACTTTTCTTTTGAAGACCAATTCCTTAAAATATTGTTCTTTTGTTTGTTGTAATAACAATCTCCTAATAATAGTTTCCAGAACTGAGATTATTTACATTATACTTTAATGCATCTTCCATGAGGAATAGGTTTCTACTTACCTAAGATGGTCACCTAGGCACTAGGGATAAAGAATGATATCATACAGAATGACAATGCTACATATATTTATATTTTATTTATACAATTATAAAGATTATATAGTCATATACTTTTCTTTATGTTATCATAATATTAAATTCTTAATTTCCAAAGATATTTTACCTTTATTAATATTTGTGAGTTATAATTACAGATATTATCTTTACTATATATACATGAAGGAATGAAAGCACAAAGATTATTCAAGGTCATAGTTAACAGCAGAGCCAATCCTAGAATTCTGTCTTCCAGACTCCACTATCTGCTTTCTGATTATCAATAAACTAATATTGACGCATGCAATCGCCATTCCTTTCAATTATGTCATTTCAATGTCAACAAAACTTTGTCTCTCTATAGTAAACTCTGTTAGAGTTCTCAGTTTTATAAGTTCAATAATCAACCCACGATTTACTTTTGTCTACTATGTGTAGATATTTAAATAAGGTATTATAAAAATGTTAAGGAAGAAAAACGAAGATTTTGCTGAGAAAATAATGACTAAACACTGAGAAACATATACTTAATTGAACTTAGAAGATACCTAACATGGTACAGTTCTTTCACACTAAAGGTATAAAAAAAATCTGAATTTTAAAAAAAAATCTTTTTCTTGACTTATTAATAACCTGTGTTAAAATACATTCACAAAAAGATCAAGAATTCTTATAAGAAGGTACATTGTAACTCCCTTGTTTACCAATCTACGTTATACTTTGAACCAAGAGACTGCAAGAGAAGATTTATTGAGATTTACTGCTGCATCATTTCAGTGAAGGAGAAAAACGTCATTGTGGTAGGCAAATCTTGTAGTATCTGTTACCTCGGCCAATGTTAACAAGAGAAGCGGTGGGTTTCATTAGTCCTAGTTCCCTCTTTCCAATCAACTTATGAGTCTGGGGTGTCAGACTGACGGCCAGCATTACAAAGTCTGATTGCTGCAGCAGCTCATCCAACTGTGCACAGTAATGGGCTCCAACTGCCTGTTCCTCTTCCACCTTCCTGTCAGAATTAACCAAGAAAAAGTAAAGTGAGTTCTCTAATCAGAGACAGCCCAAGATGCCCAAAGAAACCTCAAGTGACCAAGAACAAAATCAAGGGAAAAGTCACTGAAAAGGAACCTAAAACAAGGGGAAAATGATTTAGTCACATTATTTAATCTAAGGGCTGACAATTAAGTTGAGATTGGATAAATGAAGCGTGGAGGCAGTGTGTTACAGTGGGGAAAGCAACAGATTTACAATCAGAAAAACTGTCTTCAAATCCTAGCTCCAATTGTCTTGTAAATCAAAGGGACTTTGAAATAAAAAGGATGGGAGAGGGAGAAAACAGCCTCTGCATATTCACCAAGGCAGATATCATAGAGTAATAGTTCTCAAAGTGTGCTTTGTAGAAACTGTGGGATTCCCAACACCCTTTTGTGGGGAAGGGTGGTCCAAAAAGTCAGAACTACTTTTTATAAGACATTATTTGCTTTTAAAATACTCCTCCCTTTTACAACTATATATCTGGAGGAACAGGATAGGTAAAGAGGGATGGAAGTAATGCTGGATATTAAGAAGATATACTTTTGAGGGAAAATCCAGGAACTGAAATGGGAAAGGAAGAGAAGAATGATGGAGAACATCTGGCTGAAAGTCCACAGAGAAACAGGAGGAATTTTATTTTTACATTGCGATATGGCACTTAATGGAATCATTGATTTCATTCAGAGAGGCAAAGCTTCACTTAAGTTTGGAAATTTATTTTTTGGAAGTTTTACCTGCGGTTCCTATTGTGATACAGAATCTTCATTTCAAATCCTTTGGCTCGCTGAGCAATCTTATAGCCAATATTGCCCATACCTATGATTCCCAGAGTAGATCCAGTCACTTCTTCTCCCATGCAGTTAAAAGAAAAGTGCTTTGTGTCTGGTGAAGTAGCTACCTCATTCCCTAAAAGTCCAAGGTGCAAAAGTGAGCCATGAAACTGTCTCCACGATTTCTATTTTACTTTTAAGACAAAGAAATGAAGAAACAAGTTGTGATTTGCATCCTGCCATATAATCTCTGATAAAATGAGTTGTTCTGAGAACTCATGCTCCAGAACACATGACGCATCCATTTCTACATGAAATAAAACAAAAGTTTCAGCAAAAAATAAACCATCACATATTGGGAACAGGTAATAGTCTTCCTCATAGTATAAATCAGAATATCCTGGCAAAAAAAAGTTACGTTATGACATTTATTCTAAACTAGCAATCTTCTGTCAAAAAAAGGCTGGGCTCTTAACCATGGGTCTGGGAACTTGCTTTAAAATTTTTTAATAACTATTTCAATACAATTGGTATTTTTTGTGATCCTATGTATTTTAATTTGTTCATTTAAAAAACATTCTGAGAAGGGTTACATAAGCTTCATAAGACATTATCTAGGAATCAGGACAATATGAAAAGGATTTATATTTAAAAATATCAGTCTGAATATTTTTTCATTATTTTTACAAATAAAGTCTTCCTAGTTATCAATTACCATGAAATTAAATGGCTTAAAAGGTCATTTTACCTTCTAATATTCTCCGGGCTGATGCCAGAAGTAGGGCCATTCCCATATCTGCAGTGCTGTTAGTAACAGCATGTGGAGTGTTGGCCAATTTCACACCAAAGCTGGCAATCATGTTCAGGTCCAGATGATCCAGGCCTGCTCCTGGATTTACAATAATCTTCAAGGTAGGTAAGCTCTGCAGGAGCTCCTGGTCAATATGTGGTTTCCCTCCCCATATATATATTGCTTGTATCTTTTGACTGAGATGTGTTTTGTTTTCAAGAAATTCTTGCATGGTGATAAGATTAAAATGTTTCTTAAGATCTTCTACATGATCTTCATTCACACCATAGGGTCCTTCAAAATCCCTTATCAAAACACAAGGTAGCTTTTGATCTTGCATGACCTGTGGAGAAAAATAAAGGGTCTCTCTAGTAAAGGGAAAAAAATCTTCAGGAGTATAGAGTGTGTTCTTCAGTTAATCATTGACTTCCTGAATTACAAGAATGGAATAGAATTGTTTGGAGGTTTTAACAAAATTTCTAGAATAGCTCAGAGGTCCCTAGGAGCTCATACTACCTTAAATGTACATTTGTCCTTTGCTTTCTCCCACCTTGGCCTTTCTCTGTTCTAAAACTAGCCATGTGATTAAAATGAAGATTACTTTCATTGTCTTTTAAATTTACTAAATAAGATCTCGTGTTAAAAGTCAACAAATAAGAAATTCTTTTTTTTAAGCATAGCTAGCAAACAATTTTGGCCTTTGTCTCACTGGCCCTTGATGGAAAAACAATTTTTTTCCTATGGAATTTATATAAGATTCAGTTGAGGATATGAAGTATAACATAATTATCCACTTGAAAATTTCTTCAGATTATAATAAACAGGACATATAGTAATCAGAATATATTTAATCAATGGGAACAAATGTTTATTTGTAAACCCTTAATGAAAAGCTCACCTTTATTTTGTTCCTCTGACTTCAGAGTTAGTGATCTCTCCAGTGTCCTACATTGCTTTCATGGTACTAACACAGAAAATTGTGTCTGTCAGTGTAGATAATACAAGTTATGGATTGAGCATTCAATTTTTGAAATTAAATTTTGAAAGCCAAAAGCTTGCTTGTTAAGCAAGAGCTTAACAAAATTGAAAGCAAGAAAAGCGCCAATCATGTTGATAAATAAAATGAAGAGCTGCTTAAAATTTAAAAACACTAATTAAACACTAGTGTGTTTTAAAAAAGAAAATGAAATTGTTTTAATCAAAAGTGAATAAAGAATTCATGACAAATGAAGATGAAATAAGCAGTCAAAAACTATTTTGTCTAATTCTATGGCAAAAAAAAGATAACAGAGAAAATGGATGAATACAAAAACAAAATATGCAAATTAACAGAACAAGTTACAGAGACAATCTAAAGACAGAATTGGATGGATTTCATAGTGAATTCTATCAAACATTCAAACAACAATTAATTCCACTATTACACAAATTATTTACAGAAATAAGGACCTGGGGAAAGGATCCCTTCTAGACTCTATGATACAAATATGGTATTGACAACTAAACTAGGTAGAGACAAAGCAGATTTTTAAAAAACCCTATAGACCAATAAACCTAATGAACATCAAGATTAAATGAAATATTGTCAAGGAGCCTACAGTGATTTCTCAAAAGATAAGTCATCAAAGACTATAAACATAAAGTTTTCAAAGGATGAATTGCAAACAATCATAAGAAAGAATTCTCCAGATTGCTAGTAATAAGAGAAATACAAAGCAAAACAACCTGAAGGAAGTTATTAATAAGAAGAAAGTCCCTATATACACCAAAATATTTATAGCAACATTTTCTGTGATAGAAAAAAATAGAAACAAAGTAGATGGCCATTGATTGGGGAATGGCTAAAGAAATTGTGGTACATGTATATAATGGAATGTTACTGTGCTGTAAGAAATAATGTACGTGATGAATACAGAGAAGCGTGGAAAGACCCACATGAACTGATGCAGAATGAAGTAAGCAGAGCTAAGAAAATGACATACACAACATCCACAACAATGTAAATGGAAAGAACAGCCACATAACAAAAAGTAAAAAAATAAATAAATAATAAAATAATATAGATCAAGGATGACTTGAATGAAGAGATATGAAGACATCCCCCAACCCATGTCTTAGTTGAAGTAGAAGGTCCATAGATGTTACACGTTACACATCTTCAGATTTTTTAAATATATTTATCAGTTGAGTTGATTTTTTTTTTACTCTTTAAAGATATACTACTTGTTATATGGAATATCTCTTTGGGAGGAGAAAGGTAAGGATAGTGGGGATAACTATGATGTAAGAAACAGAACACCTTAATAAAATGTTATTTTTTAAAAAGACTATATTAACATAACAAAATGACTATAAGCTATGACCTTCTTTGGATTTATGCCAAGAATGCATTCTTGGGTTGGTTCAATATAATAAAAGGTATAAGCAGATTATACAATATTATTAACAAAAACACATTGTTATACCAACAGAAGCTGAAAAATCCAACATCAATTTCAAGTAAAAATGCTTTTAAAAATATAGGACTAAATGGGTCTGTCCTTAATATGGTGAGTAGCATTTATCTAAAACCCAGAGGCAATGTTATATGTAATGGAGAAAGGTAGAAGCCTTTCAAATAAAATCAGGTATAACACAAAGATATTTATTATTATTATTATTACTTAACATATGGCTAGAAATCCTAGCCATGAAAATGTCAAGAAAAATGAATCAAAGAAATACACACAAGCAAAGAAAAAAGAGAACTATTACTTCCTGTAGAAGATACTATGAAGCCCCAAAGAGTTGACAAAAATTAATTGAAACAATGGCTTCAGCAAAGTTGCAGGATATAAAATAAATAATAACAATAATAATAGTACCTAACATGTATATAGGTCTTACTATGTGCAAGGCATTGTGCTAAGTGCATTGTAATGATCTTATTTGGTCCAAATAGTAATCCTGGGAGGTAGATATTATTATTATCTTCATTTTACATATGAGAAGACTGTAACAAAGAAAGGTCAAGTGATATTCTCAAGGTCTCATAGCTAGCAAATTTCTGAGGATGGAAATTGAAATCAGGTCTTTCTTACTCTTGGCCCAGTACTCTATCCCCTGTACCACTGAGTTGCCATGGAAATCAACATCATTTCCTATATTACCTATAAATCTCAATATAAGAGAACTTCCATGTAAAAATAATTATATGACATATAAAATACTTGTGACTTTAGCTACTAAAATACACACAAGAACTATATGAACACAAAATATGCTTTAAGGGGAAAAAACTAGACCTAAATACTTGAAGAAATAACTAATGTTTCATGGATAAGGTAAGTTAATATAACAAAGATATTACCTAAGTCCACTTGTTTATTCAGTGCCATACTAATCAAAATTTTTTAAGATTACTTTATAGAACTAGAAAAATGATGAAATTCATCTAGAGCAGCAATCAGCAAATTACCTGCCAGACAGATCTGTCCCACTGCATATTTTTGTATGGCCAGTGAGCTAAGAATGGTTTTTAAATTTTTGAATAAAGTTTTATTATATTTTTAAAATGCAAAAGCTATTCTTAGCTCTACAAAAATAGGTAAAGTGGATTTTGACTTTGGGCTATAGTTGTCTGACTCCTGAGCTAAGGAAACAAAAGATTAAGGATCTCAAGGGAAATTAAGAAAAGGATGGGAAGTAATAGAGCCTAGCAGTACCAATTTCAAACTATACTAAAAAGCATTAATCAGCAAAAGGATTTGAGAGTGGTTAGAAAATAAAGAAGTTGAATATAAAATATAATACAAAACATACATAAAGAGGTTGAAAATAAAGAGTAGAACAGACTAGGTACACACGTTGAGGCAAAGCAATACAATAGCATGATATTCTGAAAAGCCAAGCTACTTGATAAGTACTGATTTAACAACTGCTGGAAGTAATGGAAAGCAGTTTAGCAGATATTGAGTATGGCTCATCAGCAGATCTCATTTCCAAGACAAATAAGGAACTGATTCAAACTTGTAAGAATAAAAGCCATTCACCTATTGATAAATGGTTAAAAATGTGAATAAGCAGTTCTTAAGAGAAGAAATCCAGTCAATAGCTCTACAAAAAAAAAATGCTCCAAATTATTACAAATCAGAGACAGGCAAATTAAAGCAACTTCAAGGTTCAACCTCATACCACTCAGACTGAAAAGATTACAAAACAAAAGAGAATGATAATTGTTAGAAGGACTTCAGGAAAACAGGCATATTCATTCACTCTTTATAGAAGTATGAATTAATTGATCCAGCCACTTTGGAAAACAATTTGTAACTATGCTCAAAAAAATCACTAAACAGTAATAAACTCTTTAACCTAACAATAACACAAATTGGCCCATACTCCAAAGGAATCAAAGAAAGAGGAAAGGGTTCCATATGTACAAAAATGTCTATAGCAGCTCTTTTTGTCCCCAATGGATAAATGGTCAAAAGATAGGAACAGGAAGTTCTCAAAGAAGAAAAGTAAGATATGAAAAAAATGCTCCAAATTACTAGTAATAAGGTTAATCCATGATTAAGCTTATATCTGAAGAGATAAGAGAGGGAAAGAATCCATACATCAAAGACAAAGTTCATAGCAGTCATATCTATTGTAACAAGGAACTAGAAATCAAGGAATGCCCACCAATTGAAGAATAGCTTAACAAATTTTGTCTTAAGAATTTAGTGTAATATTATTGCACCATAAGAAAAAAAGAAAGAGATGGTTTTAGAATAACTAGAAGACTTGAATGAACTGATTCAGAATGAAGTGAATGGAACAATGAGAACAATTTATACAATAACAACAACGTTATAAAGAAAAACAACTTTGAAAGACTTAAGAACTGTGACCAATAAAATAATCAACAATAAATTTAAAGGACTGATGATGAAGCATGTTACCTGCCTCCTGAAAAAGTGGTGATAGCCTCTAGATACCAAATAAGGTATAACTAAAGGCATTTTTAGCCAGTCAACAACAATTTGTTTTGTTTCATCATACATATTTGTTATAAGAGTCACTGAGTTCTTTTTCAGTTGAGGGAAAGATTGAAGGGGAAAAATTCAAACAAGTTAACCAATAAAAGAAAAAGAATTAAAGCAGGCCATTGAAGTGTTTTTTTTTTTAAGATACAGAAGAGAACAGAAATAAGGAAGGGCAGAGGAGTCAGAAGCAATCAGGACAGCTTTGAAAATATGAGATGAAGAGCATATTTAAAAGGAAAAGGAAGCTATAGAGAATATCAATTCACAGTTCCATGTATGACCATCTCTTTCTGTTTTACTATATATATGTGTGTATGTGTGTATATGTGTGTGTGTATGAAAATGCCCAAATCATTTGGTGTTTGTCAAGTTCACAAAAATAATTTTTAAAAAAAAATTTAAGCATCATTAATAAAAAAAAACAGATTTCAATAGTTTCCATTTCTAGTTCATTGTTAATACCTTTTGGTCATTTACTTGTTGGAGAATAACTCTTGGTCTTACATGTCTCGGATACTTAGGCTTTACCAAAGATATTTGATGCAATGACTTCATTTTACAAATAGTATCGTCTTCCTTATTCTAGCTGCACAGATTTGGTTCATGTAAAAGCCTTTTCATTTTATTGTAAGAAAAATTACTTTGTTATGCAATGATCAACTGTGAATAGCTTAGCTCTTTTGGGCAATACAATGATCTAAGACAATTCCAAAGGACTCATGATGAAAAAAGCTATCTACCTCCAGAGAAAGAAAGGAGCCTGAATGCAGATTAAAGCATATTATTTTTCACTTTCTTTTCTTTTCCTGTTTTTTTTCTTTCTGTGCTTTCTTTCACAACATGACTAATACAGAAATATGTTGTGCATGACTGCATATGTATCACATATATCAAATTGCTTACTGTCTCAAAGAGGGGAAAGGGAAGGAAGAGAGGGAGATAACTGAACTCAAAATTTTTTTAAAATGAATGGTAAAAATTATTTTTACATGTAACTGAGAAAAAAACAAAATGTTAATCAAAAAATTGTTTACATTGTCTTTTATGCTTACCTCTGTTCCATGTTTGGTTAAGAAGTCTCTCCCTAACCAAAGATCTAGTATGTACTTTACTCCAAATTCACCTCTTATCCTATAGGATTTCAGTACTTTACAATCTGCCTTCTAGGACTGAAAGTGTCTCTGCTAGGTAAACAACGCTCTTGTTCAGTCTTTTCAATCATGTTTTACTCTTCCTGACCCCATTTGGGGTTTTCATGGCAAAGATACTGGAGTGGTTTGCCATTTCCTTCTACAAAACAATGTTCTCTTAACTGCTGCTAAATAATAGGCTTTAGACAAATAACATGCAAAAGTAAATACTTTCAGTTTTTAAAGATCAAAAGATAAGGACAACAGCAAGACAGTATATTATACTGTTAAAACCTACACTTTGAAATTAGAGGGAAAAAAAGAATTCATACTTATTCTTTTGGTTTAACCAAATGATAATTTAGGTATTTGCAGCATGTGATACTGATGATTATAACCTGTGCTTTGGACTGCTTAGAGATTAACCTTTTTTTTCTTATTTGTAAAATGATTTAAGAATTAAAAAAAGAAAAGAAAATTACTTTTCGTTGAAATTGTCTTCAGGAACTTCAGAGTTCTAAAAGATATTATTTACTTGATGGTTCTGCAAAATTTCTATCCAAAGAGGAAAATGAACTGGAGGAAAAAAAAAAGAGAAGAAGAGTTTTATATTCAAGGAGGAGTTTTCTAGTAATGACTATGAGAGGGAGGGATTTGAAACTATAACCTATCATGTAGTAAAAAAGATCATTATCAAATACTACTACTTTTTTTAGTGAATGTGTTAGCTTTACCACAACTTCCATGAAACCATTGTTGAACCAGGAGGAAGCTTTATTACTGGCCTGGGAAGGCCAGGCATCCCACATGTGAGAACATGCATGTGAGAGCACATGTGTTGACAGATACACACCTTATTATTTCCTATTCTCGCTTTAAATTTCCTTCCCCTGTTTCCCCATTGGCTGGGTACTATAGAGGTTACCGCCTACAAAAAGTGCCTAATTTCTCATATGTGTCTCCACCCTGTTTACATCTCCCACTCCCCACAATTTGGCGACCCTGCCCTTATTTGGGTATGCCCACAACCCTTCTGCTTGGGATGTAGATATGTTAATCTACACCTAACCTCAGAACCGGTTTTTGCTACTTGGTCTATTCACCCACCAATTCTACTTTATGGCTTCCTTTGTTCAGCTTCCACCTAGCCCCTAGATGCATTTTTGTGGCAATGAGAACTAGCTATTTCTCACATTCCCTCCCATTTTAAACTGACTCCAATGTTGTCACATGGGCGTCCACCCCCAGATTGAGTGATATGCAAAAGCAACATCCCCAACCATTTTCCACAAATGAAACGTATTTGTTTATTACTAACTACTAAGCCAGAGAAATAAATGTCTTGAATCATATGCTTAAAATAAAAAAGCCCTAAACCTTTACTTTGTTGCTTTTTTAAGAAAAATGAACTTCTATGATTCTAAGATAGAGATGAGAAGACACTGCTTGAAGTTATAGTAACTCCAACCCAAATAGTCTAAACAAGCTGATAAAAAATATGAAATTAATGAAAATGACATCAATCTTGGTACTATTTCTGAGAAAACTCCAAAACAGCTACCTCAAAACTCACATATCATGGATCCCCTTCATCATTTCTTACATCACATTTAGTATTCCATAATATCCATATAACATAACTTATTCAGCCATTTCCTGATTGGTGGGCATCCCCTCAGTTTCCAATTCTTTTCCTCCACAAAATAGAGCTTCTTTAAATATTTTTACGCATCTGGGTCTTTGCTTCTATGTAGTGGCTGGGTCCAAGGGAAGGACAAATTCATATGTTTTTGCAGAGCCTACTCTTTTCAAGAAGAAGAGACAAGATCATAGCCAATGACTTTAAGCGACACTGAAAGGAAACAGAAGTTCCACAATCACATGCCCAAGGGGACAAAGCTTGACAGCATGTAGAGGAGCAATATCTCAAAAAGACCAAATCCCCAGTAACATTGTTGCCCTGACCAGGTGTTCTCTAGGGATGTGCCTCTACTCATATGACCTATACTCTTCCCACTGATAGTGTGTGTGCATTTAACAGAGGAGGAGGCCCCAGGTTTATCAGGAAAATGTTTTATTGCATCTTTGCTCACTGATGTTACTTTATTAAATTCCTTTGCTTATGTGCCCCAAAATGGTTAAAGGATATTCTGTATCATGAACGGAGGCTGTAGGAGGGTTAGAGATGGGGTGGGGTGCTACATTCTTCCAAATCCAAGTCTGGAATTGTGTCTTGTTGCAAAGTGGGCATAGTCAGACAGTTAACAAGCCTTTATTAATCATTTGATATGTGTCAAACCCTGTGGGAACCACTAAGGAGCCAAAGAAAGGCAATAACAGTGTATACCCTTAAGGAACTTCCATTCTAATGGGGGAACTAGGTACATAAAAACTTGGTCTGGGAGAGGAGTGTAGTTCAGTGTGGGCCACAGAGGCAAAGACAGGCCTCAGTGAACCTGGAGCAGGCCTTGGGGGACTGAGTCACAGGGAGCTGTGGTGGTTTCTAGACTCAACCCACAAATGCCAATGACAACTTAGAAGATCAGTGGGAAAGGTCTGCCAGACCTGGGTGAGAGAAAAGTGTGTAGCCTGAGGGCAGCAGCCACAGTGGCAGCAGTTGCTTCCAGAGCTCTTGGCCCACAGATGATGGAGAGATCAAGTAGCTGATCAAAGGCGGACTGCAGGGATCTCTTTGCTGGCACTGAGGCAGGATTCTCTTGCTTTGCCTGTGCTTGGATCTGGGTCACAGTTCTAGGTATCAGCCCCTGGGGCAAGGAGGAGCTCTGATGTGGTGGAGTAGGAATCCTCCTCACAGTTCCAAGGCAAAAAAGAGTGCTTGTTGTCACTCACAGACCAGAGCATAGGCCAGGAAAGGAGAAAACACTTCTTTTTTGATTATACCACCTTGGAAGAACTGAAAATTTACAAGTCCCTAGAAGTATCTCTGAAAACAGTTGTACAAAACTCCTAAAGCTTGGGACAGTACACTCCCCACACTGGAAGCAGAGCTCTACCTTAACAGAGAGTTAAAAAGTTAAATAATTGGCTGGGAACATGAACAAATAGAGGCAAAAAAACTCATAGAATCTTACTTTGGTGACAAAGAAGATCAAAACATACAAACAGAAGACAACAAAGCCAAAGCTCCTACATCCCAAGCCTCCAAGAAAAATGTGAGTTGGTCTCAGGCCATGGAAGAGCTCAAAAAGGATTTTGAAAATCAAGTAAGAGAAGTAGAGGAAAAACTGGGAAGAGAAATGAGAGTGATGCAAAAAAAAAATCATGAAAAACGTTTCACAGCTTGCTAAAGGAGACCCAAAAAAATACCGAAGAAAATAACACCTGAAAAAATAGACTAATCAAAATGGCAAAAGAGGTCCAAAAGGCCAATGAGGAAAAGAATGCCTTAAAAAGCTGAATTGGACAAATGGAAAAGGAGGTCTAGAAGCTCGCTGGAGAAAATAATTCCTTAAAAATTAGAATGGAGCAAATGGAAGCTAATGACTATGAGAAATAAAGAAATTCTAAAAAAAACCCAAAAGAATGAAAAAATAGAAGATAATGTGAAATATCTCACTGGAAAAACAACTGACCTGGAAAATAGATCCAGGAGACAGAATTTAAAAATTATTGGATCACCTGAAAGCCACGATCAAAAAAAGAGCTTAGACATCATCTTTCAAGAAATTATCAAGGAAAGTCCTCTGATATTCTAGAACCAGAGGGTAAAATAGAAATGGAAAGAATCCACCAATCACTTCCTGAAAGAGATCCCCAAAGGAAAACTCCTAGGAACATTAAAGCCAAATTCCAGAGTTCCCAGGTCAAAGAGAAAATATTACAAGCAGTCAGAAAGAAACAATTCAAGTATTGTGGAAACATAATCAGGCTAACACAAGATTTAGCACCTGATACATGAAGGAACTGGAGGGCTTGGAATATGATATTCTGGAGGTCAAAGGAACTAGGATTAAAACCAAGAATCACCTACTCAGCAAAACTGAGTGTAATCTTCAGGGAAAAAATGGATATTCAGTGAAATAGAGGACTTTCAAGCATTCTTGATGAAAAGACCAGAGCTGAATGTAAAATTTGACTTTCAGATATAAGACTCAAGAAAAGCATGAAAAGGTAAATGGAAAAAAGAAATCACAAGAGACTTATTAAAGTTGAACTGTTTCCATTCCTACATGGAAAGATAATATTGTTAACTCATGAGACCTTTCTCAGAACTAGGGTAATTGGAGGGAATACGTATAGACAGAGGGCACAGGGGGAGTTGTATATGAAGGGATGATTTCTGAAAAATAAAATTAAGGAGTGAGAGGGGATTATACTAGGAGAAGGAGGAAAGGGGAGGTAGAATGGGATAAATTATCTCACATAAAAAAGGCAAGAAAAAGCTTCTACAGTGGAGGGGCAGAGGGGGGAGGTGAGAGGGAATGAGGAAATCTTATTCTCATTGGATTTGGCTTAAGGGGGGAATAACATAAGTACTCACTTGGGTATGGAAATCTTTCTTACCCTACAGGAAAATAGTGGGGAAGGGGATAAGAAAGTGGGAGATAATATAGGGGAGGACAGGTTGGGGGAGGGGATAATCAGAAGCAAAAACTTTTGAGGAGGGACAGGGTCAAAGAAGAGAATAAAATAAATGGGGGGAGGGCAGGATGGGATGGAAGGAAATATAGTCTGTCACAACATGACTACTATGGAAGTGTTTTGCATGACTACACATGTATAACCTGTATCAAATTGCTTGCCTTCTCAATGAAGGTGGGTAGGGAGGGATGAAGGGAGAGAATTTGGAACTCAAAGTTTTAGAAACAAATGTTAAAAATTGTTTTCACATGCAACTGGAAAATAAGATATGCAGGCAAAGGAGTATAGAAATCTATCCTGCCCTATAGGAAAATAGAAGGGAAGGAGATAAGAGAAGGTGGGGAGTGGAGATAGAAGGGAGGGCAGATTAGGGGAAAGGGTATTCAAAATGCATGATGTCCTGGGGTGGGGAGAGGGACAAGATGGGGAGAAAATTTTTGACTCAAAATCTTGTGGAAGTGAATGTTGAAAACTAAAAATAAATTAATTTTTTAAAAGAATCAAACATTTGAAAATATGACCGATTCAAAAAAGGAAAAAGAAAAACAGCATGGCTTATTGGATAGAGAACTAGCCTTAGAGTCAGAAAGGGGATGGAGGAGAGGGGAGAAGCATTTATATAGTACCCACTATGTGCCAGGCACAAGACAGCTAGGTAGCACGGTAGATGGACTGCTGGGCTTGGAGTCAGAAAGATTCTTCTTCCTGAGTTCAAATCTGGCCTCAGGACCTTACTAGCTGTGTGACCCTGGGCAAGTCACTTAACCCTGTTTGTCTCAGTTTCCTCATCTGTAAAATGAGCTGGAGAAGGAAAATGACGAATCATTCCAGTATCTTTGCCAAGAAAATCCCAAATGGAGTCCTGAAGAATCAGACACAACTGAAAAATGACGGAAAAAACAACTTCCTTATTTAAGTTCTGAGCTTTATCTACTATAATAGCTCTGGATGCTAGTGTTCTCCTTCCCCAAACC